CCCGATGTGTCACCTTGTCCCATTGCAGCCGAGATGCGCGGGGCGCGGGCCCCTCCACACCCCCTCCGTGGGTGTGTGGTGAGTGTGGATGTGTGCGCTTCGCCCCGCGTCCGTTGCTGTGGTGCCGCTGTGTGTCTGCGTGGGTTGGGGTCCCCGCGCGCTGAGGGGGTGTGGCCGCCTTTGTCTGCCCCAGTGGGTGTGTCCCCTTTGTCTGTTGCCCCCTTCGCGAGTCTGGGCCCTTGGGTGCTTGTGCGAAGGTGGGAGTAGCTCTTTTGTGTGCGCGCTCCCCTTGCTGCCTGCGCACCTCCGTCTCGGCCCGTGTGTGGGTGGTATCCCCTCTAGGGGACGGCCCCCGCGGCCAGAGCGCGCGGGCACGCGCCCGTGTGTTCCTTCCTGCCTCCTTTTGTGTTGGCGCATGTTCTTCCCGGCGGCGGCGTGGGCGCGGGCGCACTCGGCCTCCGTGGGCGGCCTCCGTGGGCAGCCCCCCCTTTGTGTCACTGCCTTTCTCCGTGGGGTGCGCGTCCTCCAGCGCGCGTTTCCGCGCTTTCTGCTGTCGCGACTCCCACCTGGAGCTTCGCCGCGCGAGTGTGCGTTCTCGTGAGTCGCCGAGTGTGCTGCGCATGAATCCTGCCGAGTGCGTGATCTCGTGTGTATGAATTTTCGTTCGCGAGTGTTCCCTGCGTTGTCGCCACCTGTTTTCGTGAGAACTGGCAGCCCAGTTCAGGTCCCCCCCCCACGCAGGTAATGCACCAGGGGAGGAGACAATAATCCCAGCGCTCCTCTCTTCTGCTCCTCTTCTGAGCATCCTTGCTCCCCCAAACGCGGACGGGAAGGGGGAGAACAGCAGCTGGTTTATCCAGTTGCTCCGCAGTGTTGACGATTCCACTGTGGCCTGTCGAGGTGACCTGTTCTGGGGACAGTAGAGAGGGTTCAAGGACCAAAAACGAGCTGAGGCGTAGGTGAATTTCGGCTGGTACCAGTGTGGCGTGCCTTTTCCAGAGGCGTCCAAGACGCCAAAAGCGCTTCAATTGCAAACACCTTCTAAAATACATATATGAGGCGGCGCCTTGACTTAGTTGCTTAAAGCACCTGTGTGTATATGTATATGAACATGCTAAGTGGGCAAATACATTCTAGACGTCCCTGGGCGTTCTTGATAATACTTAATGGTTCAGAGAGTTTCGTGGCATTCACATGAGTCTCTTGATTCTGCCCAAAGTCTTGTTGAGGGAAACAAGGTAGAAATTTCTAGGTTTTACTCCTCTTTGTTGGGAGCAGTTTCTTTATAATTACAGATGTAGTTAGGACATTATTTTATTGCAGGAAATTTGCATTTTATCCTACGGAAAATGGGATTTATTAGAAAGTTACATAGGGAGAGAAACTTAAAACCCATTAAGGACCCAACTATTTACTCCCTTTGCTCAAGGGTTCGTGCTGTGTGCTCAAGGACTGCGTTTTGGTGTCTATTTCTCTGTTCTGCTTAATTTTCTTACTCTTGCCTACTTTTCTTTTTAGTTTTTGGAATATTTCAAATATAAAATACAGGGGGGATCTAACCATTATTCAGATTTTACAGATGTAATTCTTTTGCCAAATTTACTTCAGATCCTTTTTTTTTTAAAGAAATAAAATTGCAGATATTGAAGGTTCTTTGTTCCTTCCCCTCCTTTCCTAGAGATAGCCACTGTGTTCGATTCCATTGCAGATATTGAAGGTTCTTTGTTCCTTCCCCTCCTTTCCTAGAGATAGCCACTGTGTTCAGATTCGTGTATACCATTCCTTTGCATGTTTTATACTTTGATCATGGTGAATCCGTAAACAATACATAGTACTGTTTTTAAACTTTAATGGTATTAAACTATGTGTGTCTTTTTGCAACTTGCTATTTTTGCTCAGCATCACATTTTAAGATTTATATATGAATAAGTTGAATAATTGTGTTATCTTTGGTTTATTCATTTTAATTGCTGGTATAGAATTGTATTGTACGAATATACATAATTTATTTATACATTTCCTTATTGATGGACTTTAAAGTTGTTTTCAGTTTTTGACTCTTAAAACAGTCCTGCAATAAATATCTTTGTCCTTGTCTGGTTGTGCATACATTTGGAAGTTTCTCTAGGAAATACACCTATTAGTAGATTTGCTGAATAGTAGGATATGTACATCTTCAATTTAACCAGATATCACAGAAGCTCTCTAAGTGGTTGTACCAATTTCCACTCTGGTTTTGAGTGAGAACACCCGTTTTTCTCACATTCTTACTTACACTTTATGTTGTCAGATTTTACATTTTGCCTTCTCTTTATTGACCAGCTTTCTTCTGACATTGGCTTGCTGCTAATATTGCTGGCACCAACCTTGGCCTCTGCCCTAGCCTTGTGTAAGTGTATGGGTTCATTTCTCACAGCTGATTGGCTCAGTCTTTATCTCATTTGGTCCTCATAAGATTAATTGCAATGAACATTTATTATGTACCTAATGTATGTCAGTTTCTATGGTTGATGTAAAGATAGAATTTCCATGATATGTTATATGTACTTCTCTAGTGCCAGGTGAGGTGGTTTAATTAAAGGTATATATTTTATATGATAAATGTTTCTTAAAAAAATCTTTTCCTCTTTATTTTAATGTAATATTTGATACATTCAAAATTTATGTAACACGTATGAAAGCTATGAAGCAAAACAATAAAATGAACACCTATGAATCCACTCAGTCCAAGAATCAAAATGACCAATATTGAATGTGCTCACTTCCAGAGGTGACTACTGTCCTGAATTGTATGTGTTATTCCTTGCTTTTTAAAAATATTTTTATCAGATATGTATATGTCCCACAACAGTGTATTGTATGCTTTCTGTTGTTTTTGAGATTCAAAAAAAAAAAAAAAAAAAAAAAAAAAAAAAAAA